CTGGCTTTTTTATTTTTGTTATTAAATCTCCATCTTTGGGACTTATGCTGTGGCACCAAAAAAAGGAATGGCTGTTTTATAGCATCCACATTGATGTTCCCTTTCATTATCATTAATAACTGACAGTATCTTTACTTGAAAACTTTGTGTCACAAGCAGTGCCTAATTAGCTAGGGCTTGTAAGTTGTTAGTTGAAACTCAGGATGCATTTTCTCATGAAAACAATGTCTAGTAAACTATGATTAAGGTTCCTAGACTAGCTCATAAAAAACCTATCTAACCATAATGTATACCTGAAAGGTAGGCAGTTTAATGTAGTGGAAAAAGGACTAGAATAGAAGATAGGAATACTAGTTTCACTCTTGCCAGTAAGTAGTTGGAAGACCTTGGGTGAGGCATTTTCTATTGTGGCCCATGGTTTGGGATTAGTAAATTGAGGGGGTTGGACTAAATGATCAAAAGCCATTTTTCCAGCTTTAATTTTTTTATGAATAATACCATTTCAGCTTCCCTTAACCATCATTTTATAACTAGCAAAATCTGTTCTGAGTAACTTAAAAGTCTTAAACATTTTTCCTGGTTCCCTGGCACTATAGTTCTTACTCTTAGATCTCAAAGATAAGAGATAGGGACTGGGAGACCTGCATGGCAAGAGGGTTTGGCTAGTTGCTTCTTAGTGTCTAATAGTTTTTAAATCTTCCAGTTGCATAAGAGTAGGTTTCTTCCACTTTACCAGGGGATTAGTTTCTGAATATTCCTACTTAAGGAACAAAAGGCAATTGTTGGGGATGGGTGGGGCAAGGAAGGCGAGTAGGAGCAGGGAGTTTGGATTCATATTCTCCCATTGCCTGTACAGGTCATTTATGTGCAAAATTTGTCCTGAAGCCTATAAGCACACTCTGAGAGACCAATAGAGCCATTTTAAGCAAGCAGCATTCTTCATCCTCACCCTACAGGTACTTAGAGGCCTAGTTTTGTCTTTTACTACCTCCTCCTCTGGTCACCTACTCCCAGAAATAAATAGGTTTAAAAATTTTGCATGGGCATTAGGTTGCAAAAATGTCTAATGATAATATTTGAATACTGCTTTGAAAATTTGTCTTCTAAGGCAAAGTGCAGGGTTACATTTCTCTTTATGTGGTAGAATAAGACAGAAGTGTTTAAAGAAATGAATCTCTCCCCAGAACTCTCTCCTTACAAAAAAAAGATAAACTTTTTATGGGTAAAGGGAAGTTTCAGAAGTGTTAGTTTAATGATTGACTAAAGTTTGGATGTATGCAAGCTGGTAACCATGTGCTGAGGAGGGTGGAAAGTAGAATGCAGTGGAGGTTATTTAGAGAACCTGTAAGTTAGAATGATTCAGTGTGCATTTATTAATCCCCTACTGTATGTTAGGGAAGCTGTTGCAGAAGGTACAAAGATAAATTGGACAGGATTCCTGCCTTAAAGGGGTGTAACATTTTTCAGGGGAAATAGATGGATTCTGTTCAGTTTGGCAGACATGGAGTGCCCACTGTATAAAAGTCGCTGTTGAATGTTGGGAATACAGTGGTGCAACATAAGTTTTATTAGGTACCTACAGTGTTTAAGGCCTATTGTACTGAGAAAATAAAGATGAAAAACAACACAGTATCTATCCTCAAGAAATTTATAATCTAGTGCTGGGGATGCAGCATGTACACAAATAAGTATGTGATAAGGGCAAGGCAAGGAGTGCCTTGGAAGTGGAGATGGGCAACAGACATACTTATTGGAAGAGGACACCCCCAAGCTGGTTCTTGAAGAAAGGGAAGAATAACAACTGGTAGACATGGAGAAAGTTGTGTGGTTTAGGCACTGGAGACAACATTACAGATTCAAGACCATCAAATGATCAAATTTGGCTGGAAGGTAGAATGTATAAAGGGGAGTATTATAGGAAAAAGAGGTTAGAAAGGTTTGTTAGAATCAGATTGTGGAAAACTTAAATGTCAGGCTAAGGAATTAGGTTTTACTCTATAAGTATTTGGGAGCTGCTGAAAGGGTTTTGAGCAGAGCTGCGACATCAAATCTATGTATTAAAAAGATTGTTTTGGCAGCTATGTAAGAAATGATTAGGACTGGAGATAGTAATACCGGTTGTGAGGCTTTTGTGGTAGTACAAAGGAGGTGTGATCAGGGACTGAATCAGAGTGCTGATAATGAAACTGGAGCAGAGGAATGAGTGCACGAGATTTGGAAAGGTAAAATCAAGAGAATGTGGTAACTCATGGTAATCAATTGGATATAGGGGTGTAAAGGAGAGGAAGGAGCTAAAGTCCTAATTGCTTATTGGATGTCCCACCTAGATGTTCTATAAGCATTTCAGATAGATGTCCAAAACATAACTCTTCTCTGCTCCCAATCCTCCCCTCTTCTAAAACTTTCCTATTTCAATGAAGGATACCACCATCCTTCTAGACACTCAAGTTTGCAATATCAGTGTCATCCTTAAAACTTTATTTACCCTCACTTAATGAATCTTATAATTTCTATCTCTATAGTATCTCTTTCCTCCATCCCCTTTTGTCTGCTTACATAGCCACCACTTTAATTCAGGTTTTCTCATCTCTTTTCTGGATTGTTGCAATAATCTCTTGGTCACCCTAGCTCAGGTCTCTCCCTGCTTCAATCCATCATCTACACAACTGTCTGTGTCATTTTCTTAAAGCTTAGATCTGACCTCATCACTCAGTAAACTCCAGTGGCTCCTCTTTACCTCTAGGATCAAGTATAAACTCTTTTGTTTGTTATTCAAAACTCTTCATAGCCTGGCTTCATCCAGCCTTTCCAGGTGCTATACACAGTGAAGTAACTCATAACTCATAACTGTCAATTTAGTAGATAATCTTCAAGATTTGTGTATCTGAAAAGCTAATCACCCTATTGTCAGTGAGATAGTAGGCCTCTCTGAACTTAGCTCGACTAGTCTTTTGATAACAGATAATATGGTCTGTCATTGGACCTATTAAAGCTTTTCTAGCATAAAATTCAATCAGTCAATAAATATTAAGCACCTGCTATGTACCTGGCACTGTGCTAAGTGCTGGACATACAAAAAAGAGGCAAAGCACTGTTCTGCCCTCAAGTAGCTCATAATCTTATGGAGGAGACAACATATAAACAAATATGTGCAAAGCAAGATATATACGGTGTAAATAGGAAACAATTAACAAAAGGAAGATACTGGAACTAAAAGGAGTTAGGATCAGCTTCCTATAGAAAGTGGGATTTTAGTTGGGGCTTAAAGGAAACCAGGGAGGTCAGTAGTAGGAGCAGAGAAAGGAGAGCATTCCAGCCATGGAGAACAGTCAGAGAAAATGCCTGGAACTGAGAGATGCAGTGTCTTGTTCATGGAACAGCCAGGAGACCAGTGTCACTGTATTGAAGAATACATGCTGTGGAGTAAGGTATAAGAAGACTGGAAAGGTAGGAAAGGGTTTAGGTTATGAAGGATTTTGAATACCAAAAAGCATTTTGTATTTGCTCCTGGAGGCAATAGGGAGCCACTAGAGTTTATTGAGTAGAGGAATCACATAGTCAGACCTCTACTTTAGGAAAATCACTTTAGTAGCTAAATGGCAGTGGATTGGAGTGGGGAGAGACTTGAGGCAGGCAGATCCTGCTATTGTAATAGTTAACGTGTGAGGTGATGAGGGCTTGTACTAGGTTGATGGCAGTATAAGAAGGAAGGGGGCGTTTTGGAGAGATATTGCAAAGGTGAAATCAACAGGCCTTGGCAACAGCTTGGATATGGAGTGTGAGAGATAGTGATGAATCCAGGATTGTTCCTGTGTTGTTAGCCTGAGAGACTGGGAGGATGATATTTCCCTCTACAATAATAGGGAAGGTAGGAGGGCAGGAGGGTTTAGAGGGAAAAATAATGAGTTCTGTTTTTGACATATTAAATTTAAAATGTAACTTTATATCCTGTTCAAGATGTCTGAAAGGCAGTTGGAGAAGTGAGATTGGAGGTCAGCAGAGAGAATGGGGGAGGAAAGGTAGTAAAATCCATGGGCACTGATGAGATTGCCAAGTGAAATAATGTGAAATAAACTAATCAACTAATCAACCTGCCAGATGACAGAGGGAAATGTAAAAATCTGGTCCCTGTGTTAAAATTGAGACAGGCTGAATTGAGTGAATAATATATGTATCTATAAATTAGCTGCTCAGAATATAATTTTTACTCAAATTTCTTCACAAATTAGCTTAAATGTTTTAAATGGTCTGACTTAATGAGTTTACGAATGGCCACTAAGAAGGGAAAGGACCAGAGAGGACTAAAGACAAATGGGTGTAACTCTCAATGTTCCTTTAATCTTTTGGATGGTGGTAGCATTGCATTGGCAGTAGTGAATGTGGTAGAGCCTTCTGTTTAGTATTATTACTCTGTTGAGTTTCATCACAGGTGTTTGGTTTGTTGTTGTAGGTACTGGTTGAGTTTGGAGAAAGTAAGGAGGTAGAATAACAATGAAATTGGAACCTTCTCACTGGGCTTATTTGTTTAGCGGACTTCTTCCTTCTCAACTTTCTTCCAGATCTGAATTGGTTTGAAAGAGTGTGGAGTTGAGCATTTTTTGTGCTTAATAAAGTTAGACTTGATAAACAACTGAGTCAAACGAGTGACTTTGGGGAACCAGAATTGAGGAGTTGCCTTGTTTGTAGTTTTTAATCTTTAATGGGAAAGTTTTGTTGCTAAAATGCAAATGCTTACTGATAGCACTGGTGCTAAGCTTATCCCCACATTAATCAACACTTTAAAATGACCCAAGTTCTCAAAACAATTTTAGTCAAGGCATCAATTTTGACAGGCAGCCAAATATTACTATTGCTTGAATTGTGGGTGCTAATTTGACATTTTCAATTCAACCTTTAACTACTCTGTTAGATGTAGGTACTGTGGAAATAAATAAGCTCTTTGAAATATACACGAACCATTCAAGAACTCAGAGGTCTTCGTTTTTTCTTTCTCTCTGCAGGCTGCTATATGGCAAGCACTAAACCACTATGCTTTCCGAGATGCAGTTTTCCTTGCAGAAAGACTGTATGCCGAAGGTATGTGACCCGTTCATTTTAAATTTGCTGTTTAATATTATTTGCTTCTGGTTTTTACTAGTGGGAATCAGAAGAAATGTTTGTGGCAGAAATCTTACAGATTAATTTATAGACAATGGTTTTGTTATTTTTTCTTCGTTTTATAGATAGTTTTAGAGGATGAACTACAAGTGTATATGGATTTTATTAGATGGCCATTTACCACTGTCAAATTTTGTGATGGCAGGAATTGTCTGCTTTTGAGAGAAAAGCTAAGGGAATTAAGATTCCTCCTTAGTTTAATTGGGTACTCTGGCATATCCCAGAGGAGATTTATATCCAACCAAGATCTTGAGGCTTAGGGACCTTACTAGAGCGCTTATACTTCCCAGGATTAAGGCACTGGGAGTGCACTCCTTGAATATGGTATCTTCTATTGGGAATGAAGCCTTTGCTTAGTGGGAGCCCAGTCATTGGGGACAAAATCACCAGATGTCTACTGATTCAGAGGACAGACCAAAATGCCCTGCCAACTATATTCCCAGCTTCCCAATGTATAGAGTGATGACCTGTGAACACTATCATTCTCATATTGACATGATTATTTTCTTTATCCTGTGGCTAACAAACTTGTACCTCTTGCTACCCTTAGCCTTGTGATTCACAGTCACTACCTACTAAGGCAAAAATCATTTTCCCCTCTTAGGTCTCATCCATATCCACCACAGCACTATGCCTCTAGAGCCATATCTTCTGTCTTCTCATTTTCATTGTACCTACATTCTCTTATTAACTCTCTTTTACTCTAGATTCCAGGAATAGCTTGGTGTCTCAGTGTTTAGAGTGCCAGGCCTGGAGTCAGGAAGACCTGAGTTCAAATCTGGCCTTAGACACTTAACTAGCTATATGACCCTGGGCAGGTCGCTTAACCTCTGTTTGCTTTAATCCACTGGAGAAGGAAATGGCAAACCATTACAATATCCTTGCTAAGAAAACTCTTTGGAAAGTATATGATCTACAGGGTCACAGAGTCAGACACAGCTGAACAACTGAACAAAAACAACCCTAGATCTCAACCCTATATCACCCCCAATACCTGCCTTCTCTGTTCCTATTTCTTTGGTGCTGAACAGTTAAGGAATTCATGCATCTGTGCCAATTATATCCACCCCAGATTCATGTTAATCCAATTTAGCTGAGATGTTACTGCTAGTACATGGCAATCCTTTTTTTTTCTTCCTCAGTTGAGTCTCTATTGTCCTGGCCACAGTAGCTCTTTCAGGTTTCCTCTTCTTTTCTCAAGCCTCCTGTATGGTTTTTTGCGTTTCTCTTTAGGAACAAATGACAGTAATTCCTGTTTCTTGAACTCCCCCCTACCCCCCTATTCTATACTTGAAAATTCTTGTATCTTTATATTCCTTTTGTCCTTTGCTCCAGTCTCTGAGGAAGAAGTGACCTTTCTCTTTGTGCCTACTGACTGTACCATAAGCATACCACTTCATCTCCTCTCCTTTGCACCGACTATCCTCTGTGCCCGTAATGCATTCCTTCCTCCCCTCTACACTTTGGAATGCTTGGTTTCCTTAAAGATTCAGACCAGGCACCACCTTCTTCATAAAATTTTTTCTGGGCCCCCCCAGTTGCTACTACCCCCCCTTTCCCAAACTACCTTGCCTTCATTTTATATGTATTCTGTGTATATTCATCTATTATCTAATTAGAATATAAGCTTCTTGAAAGTAGTAACTGTTGCTTTTGTCTTTATCTCCAGTGTCCCTCTCATGGTAAGAGCTTAAAGAATGTTTCTCAGTTCCCTTCCTACTTGACTGCTCCTTTTGGTCTTTTTGGCTAATTGATTCTTTTTCCTCCCCCTCTTTCTCTCCTGCCCCATCCCCAAGAAGGAGGGTCACTTAAGGTTCTTTTCCTGGGCTTTCTTTTCATTCCATGCACTCTTTCTCTTCCTTTACAGCTTTATTTCACATTGTGACATTCATACACTGTTGTGGTATATGTATGTGATGGTCTAAACTTACTTTCTGTTCAAATGCTTTCCAGTTTTTTCAACTAGTCTTGTTAAATAAGAAGCCCTCCCTCTAGTAATTTTCTGGGCTACTGTGTTTGATTGCTTCTGGATCATGCTTGTCTAGTCAGTTCTACTAAGCTACTTTTCTTTTTTAATGTAATAAATAATTTTAATGAATATGCTTCATAATAGCATTTCCAGAACTCTATTTCTTTTTGAGAAAAACTTCTGAGAAAACTGGAAAACAATTTGGCAGAGCCTAAAGTTAATGAAACAGCTGGTAGCTCAGTGGATAGAACACTGGGCCTGGAGTCAGGAAGACTAGAATTCAAATCCACACTTCCTAGCAGTGCAGTCCTGGGCAAGTCACAACCTCTGATTGCCTGACGAAAAGATCTGCTACAATTACTGACGAAGGAAATGGCAGACTACTTCGTTATCTTTGCCAAGAAAACCCCATGGACAGTTGGTCTACAGGGTCTCAAAGAGTCAGGCACTACTGATTGACTGAACAACAGCAAAGAGTTAAAAATCATTTATACCATGTACCAAAATAAATTCTAAATGGATATATAACCTAAAAGTAAAAGGTCATATCATTTAAAAAGTTAGAGGAGAATGTAAAAATTATCTTTCGCAACTATGACTAGTGGAAAAGATCTTAACAAAACAAGATGTAGAGATGATCATAAATGATAAAATATACAATTTCAGTTAAATAAAATTATGCCCCCATCTTTTTATTTCTCTTGACATGCTAGACCTTTTGTTTCTCCAAATGAATTTTGTCCTAAAAAGTGTTGGTAACTTGATGTGGCATTAATTCTGTAAATTAATTTGTGATTTTAATTTTCTTATTATATTGATGTGGATAAACAATGAATATTCTTCCAGTTATTCAAGTCTTCCATTTTTTAAAGGATTATTTTTAATTATTTTAATTTTATTGATACCTTTTAACATCACAGCTGTTTCAAGATATGCCTCTCACCACCCAGAGCTTTTCCTTATGACAAAAAAGTTAACCAAAACCACAATACTTGGCCCACAGTAGGTACTTAATAATTTCTTGTTGACCGGCTGGTATCTGAAAGGATATGCCATATTACATGCTCATAGTCTCTCACCTCTACAACAAAAGAAGTGAGATATATTTATTCTTGTTTTCATGTGATCATTGATAATGACCTCTTTTTAGAACTATTCATATCCTTGGGGAAATGACTTTTTTTTTTAATAATCATTTCTTTCTCTTGTTTGGTTAAGAATTTTCCCCCTTCCCATAGCTGTGAAAGGCATTTTTTATTTTTCTCCAATTTGTGCATAATGTTACCTATTTTAGCTAGATAGCATATTTACCTGGAACTTACTAAGATGTACAGTACAAGATACTAGTCTAAACTTTTATTGTAGTCAAATTGCTTTACAGTTTTTCCATTAGTTATTGTTGAATAGATACTACTTTCCAGAAAGTATTAGGCTTAACTAGCCTTGGACTACTGTGTTCAGTTGTTTCTGATTGTTACTTATTTGTCTTTTTCACTGATCCATTTTTTTATTTTTAATTATTACCAAGTAGCTTTGATAATTTCTGCTTCATAATATAGTTTGAAACCTGGAAGGGTCATTTCCCTTTCATTCCTACTTTTTTCATTCTTTCTTTTGAGATTTTAGCTCTTGTGCCATTAAAGATTTTTGATTAGAAGTATGATACAGTTGGATTTGTGTTTTTGTTCTAGCCTTCTGAAAAGTAATTACTGTGTTGTTCAATTATAGGTTGTTTTATCCTCATTGAAATTTCTGAATTGTTTTTGTATTAAATAATTGCTTAATTTTCCTTTGTTTTTAGTTACTAGTGAGCACTCTCTTAGTTACTGTCAAATGGAATCTTGTTTCTTGCAGTTGCTTGTTATTGAGGACAAAATGATAACCATTTTTTGAATTTTTTCCCTTCAGTACACTCAGAAGAAGCATTGTTTTTACTGGCAACCTGTTATTATCGCTCAGGAAAGGCATATAAAGCATACAGACTCTTGAAGGGACACAGTTGTACTACCCCACAGTGTAAATATCTACTTGCAAAATGTTGCGTCGACCTCAGCAAGTAAGTTAGTTAGCTAATTTTCCTTTATTAATGCTGTGTATTTAGACAAAACACTGTTACTTGTCAGGTCCTCTTGTTCTAAATTCAATATTACTGTCCAAATCATTTTGTATTAAAACTTTGTTGTATTTGAATAATTATTGAGGTAATTGGAGTGTTTTTATTGTAATGCAAAGGTAATATCACAACAACAATTATTGGAATCTAACCGATAATTAACAAATTCTCACTGACTCTTGAGATTGGATGCCACAAGTGATATTACCTTTGCTTGCAGATATGGACTTAATGGAATAGACCTGGAAATAAGCATCTTCCTGCACATCCAGAGTGGGTGCCTCTTTGGGACTAAAAAATATTATGTATTCCCAGCCATTCTCTGTGACTAGGGGAGGGTAGATAGGAGACAATTCCCTGCAAATTCCCCTTTTTTTGAATTCCTGTCAAGTAAAGCAAGTGGTATGATAATTCTTAATGCTCCTGTACATTTTTAACTAATTTATCCAACTGTAGTACTTGTGACTTGAGACCATCCATTCTATGTGTGGAGATAGCCAAGAGTGTAAGTTCTATTAAATTATTTTGAAGATTCAGTAAGGGTTTATTAATAGACCTCCTAAGAAATACATGCTGATAAGTACCCAAGCATTTATTTGTACATAGACTAAATTAATGACTTAAAAAAAGAAAGCTGAAAGGATCTAGAAAATTCCTGAAGTTTTTTTAAGAATTCATTTGTTATCTTGTTTTTACATTATCTTCATTTCCAATTATCCCTCTCACTCCCTTCTATCCACCCTAATTTGTAATGAAGATTAAAAAAGAACAGAAAAAAAGTTTAGCAGAACTTGCCAATACATTAGCTGAATCTAAACAGCCTGTGGAATGTCCATAGTTCCCCACCTCTGCAAAGCAGGTACATTTTCTCATCTCTTCTCCAGTGCCAAGCTTGGTCGTTATTATTATACATCGTGCATTTTCTCTTTTTTTGTAATTTCCATTTACGTTGTTGTAATAATTTTGTATTTTTTTTCCTGTTCTTACTTCACTGTATATCAATCATATCAGTCTTCTCATGCTTCACTGAATTCTTCATATTATCATTTCCTACAGTATAGTGATATTTCACTCAAAAGTTTCTCAATGAGTTATTTAACACTCCAAAAAAGCATCAAGAAATTAAATTCTAAAAACCTATCTATGCATATATTTTGCTCATTGACTCTATAGGCAAAAGTCCCAGATTGGACATTCTTAATTTATATTCAAATCAATTCAAATGCACAAGAAATTAATCTTATATAAAATAACAATAGATTGCCATCCTTTAGGTTAGGATAGTTATAGTTTTAAATGTTTATATATTCATAGTTATGGGTTAAGTGGATTAGTCAAAAATAGATGTTAGTAATTAGAAATATTTTTCATGATGGAAATTTATTTTCAAAAGTAAATTTAAAATATAAACCTTTATGAACCCTAATTTCCTTTTGTAAACAAACCTATATTGGAATCATAATCCTATTTTCTCATTCACCACTACTTTAAGAGATTGCTAGGTAGTACTTAATAGGGAAGTCAGAGCTAGAAATCAGACCTTGGTTTTAGTCTTGGTTCTGGAACTAACTCACTGTATGACTTTGGATAAGTCACTTCATCTATCTGGACTCAGTTTCTTCATTTATAAATAAAAAGGTTGGACTTGACGGTCTCTGTGCTTTGCTAAGTTTATGATTTCTATAATTTTAGATGTAGGAATGAATCATGTTTTCAAAGAAATATTAACAAGTAAATGGCTGATTACTACTTGCTTAATGTCAAGAAATTACATTTAGTTTTTTAGCCTTAAAATCAGGTGACTTAAGTTCAAATCCTGGCTCTGTCACTTTCTAGATGTGCAGCAAGCTGGGACAAGTCTCCACCTCCTCCAGGAGTCTAACATTCTATTATTAATTTGACTTGTTTTTTATTCAAGGGCAAAATTGAAATTTAAAAAAGAATATGCTCCCCTAGCCCTAAAATTGAAAAATACCTGGCTTTATAAAGTTCCTATCTACACAAAAATATTCATCTCAACACTTTTTGTGGTAACAAAGAAATACCAAACAACTGGGGAATGGCTAGACCAAATGTGGTATAATGGAATGTTGCAGTGTTCTAAGAAATTATAAATAAATGGAAAGACTTACATGAAATTATGTAGAGTGAAGTAAGCAGAGCTAAGAAAATAATGTACACAGTGACTACAATAATGTCAATGAACAACCATTACAAAATGAAAGTGAATGTCATTAAACTACAAAGAACAAGCCTGGTCCCAAAGAAGAGATGTGACAAGATATCTTCACCCCACACCTTTGCAAAGATTAGAGGTTCACAAGTGTGACATATTGCACAAACTTTCAAACTTTTTCAGTGTATTGATTGGTTTTGCTAAGTTTTCGCCTTTTTCTTTTCTTTAAAAAATATTCTTTGTTATATGAGATGGCTCTCTGGGAGTGGAAGAAAGAGTCATGCTGCGAGAAACTTTGGTGATATAAAAACAAAAGGTATCCAAAAAAAATTATTTGAAAAAAGATATCTGTCTTTTTTTCCCTAAATGCCCAGAAGAGCTGTCCTACTTAAGGATAGAGTCAAATGAGTGTTGGTTGGTGTCTTTCTGACAGACCATTGCCTTATCTGTTTCTATCTCTAGTAGAGTTGGTAATAGAAGATATGTTTATATACAGTAATTTATTATTTTTTGCCTAAATTTGTGTTTTATTTTAAGGCTTGCTGAGGGGGAACAGATCTTATCTGGTGGAGTTTTAAATAAGCAGAAAAGCCATGATGATATTGTTACAGAGTTTGGTGATTCAGCTTGCTTCACACTTTCGTTGTTGGGACATGTATATTGGTAAGTGAAAATTATTTCAACTGTTAGAAATCTTTGATTGTTTATAATAAAAATGACAGTTCTACCCAAGTTATCTAACTTATTCTGTATACTACCAATTAAACTAATTGTTTGCAACCCATGAGTTCTTACAGGTCTAAAAGGTGGTACTGATTTAATTTATTTTTATCAAATAGCATTCACCCATCTGTTGCTATGATCATCTGGTTCTCAGGCTTTTTGGATATATAAATGTAGAGGAGGTATTGGTTTCTATGTCTCACTCTTGAGTTGTCCCTTTTTGCAATTTCTAGAGTGTGCATTATGCCTTTCCCTCACCTTGGGGGTAAGAATACCAAAATGTAAGTCTTTGAAAGGGAAGAAAAAGGTGAGAGTAAAAACTGAAGCTTTTCTTTAAGTTTAAATAGCTCCTTACTCTATGGAAAGTAGTTTTGATTCAGACTTTGCTGGCATTCTGGAGAAGTCTTTTTCTTTCTTCTTCCTTCCTTCTCTTCTCTCTTTCTCCCTTCCCTTCTTGTTCCTTCCCTTCCTCTCTCCCTCCTCATTCTCTCCCTTCCTCCTTTTTATCCTACTTCTCTTCTTCCCTCCCTTCCTTTCTCCCTTCCTTCTTCTCTTTCTTCCTTCCTCCCATCCTTCCTTCCTTCTGTCACTGAGAAGTGAAATGACTTGCCTAGGGTTTCAGAGCCATTATGCATTAGAGGTGGGACTTGAAACCCAGTTTTTTCCTAATGGAAACAGCTTAGCTATCTGCTACCCCATACTTCTTCTTTGTTATTTTTTATAAGGAAAATTGACCTCAGTTGGTCTAGAATTTTTTCCCTTTTCCCTCCAACATATTTTTTATTTCATTAAATATTTCTCAATTACATTTAAAAAAGTTTTAACATTCATTTATTTAAAATTTTGAGTTTCAAATTCTTTCCCTCCCTCCCTTCCCCTCTCCTTAAGAAGGTAAGCAGTTTGATATAGATTATACATGTGAAGTTATGCACAACATATTTGCATATTAACTTTGTTGCAAAATAAAACACAGGACCCCTCAAAAAGTAAACAAATAAGAAAAATAAAGAAGGTAAAAAAAGTATGCTTTGATCTGCATTCAGACTCTATCAGTTCTTTGGAGGTGGATAGCATTTTTCATCATAAGTCTTTTGCATTTGTATTCAAATTTGTATTTGATCATTGTATTAATCAGACCAGCTAAGTCATTCACAGTTGATCATTGTACAATATTGTTCTTACTGTGTACAGTATTTTCCTGGTTCTGCTCACTTCACTTTGCATCAGTTCATGTAAGTCTATCCAGGTTTTTCTGAAACCATCCTGCTCATCATTTCTTTTTTTCTTTTAAAAATGAACATCCAGGGCAGCTAGGTGGCGCAGTGGATAGAGCAATGGTCCTGAAGTCCGGAGGACCTGAGTTCAAATCCAGCCTCAGACCAAACATTTGACACTTACTAACTGTGTGACCCTGGGCAAGTCACTTAACCCCAATTCCCTAAAATAACAAAAAACAAACAAACAAACAAAAATGAACACCCTCTTGATTTTTTTGATAGAAAAATAGTTCTCTGCCACCAAAAAAAGAGGTGCTATAAATATTTTTGTACATGTAGGTCTTTCTTCTCTCCCCTTTTTAAAAATTTCTTTGAGATGCAGACCTACTAGTGGTATTGCTGGATCAAAGGGTATGCACAGTTTTATAGCCCTTTGGGCATAGTTCCAAATTGTTCTCCAGAATGGTTGGGTCAGTTTACAACTCCATCACCAGTACATTAGTGTCCCAATTTTTCCACATCCCCTCTAACATTTATCATTTTCCTTTTCTGTAATATTAGCCAATCTGATAGGTGCGAGATGGTACCTCAGAGTTGTTTTAATTTGCATTTCTCTAATTAATAGTGATTTAAAATATTTATTTCTGTGTGATTATAGATAGCTTTGATTATTTCATCTGAAAACTGCCTGTTCATATCCTTTGACCATTTATCATTTTTTTTATTATATACAATGTTGTCTTGGTTCTGCTTATTTTGTTCTTCTTTATTTCATGCAAATCTATCCATGTTTTCTTCTAAAAATCATCAGGCTTATCATTTCTTATAGCACAGTAGTATTATATCACTCTTTGGCCATAATTCCAGATTGCTTTCCAAAATGATTGGAGAAGTTCACAGTTAGTCCCAATTTTTCCACATCCCCTCCAACATTTGTTGTTTCCCCCTTCTGTCATTTTAGCCAATCTGATAAGTGTAAAATGACATCTCAAGATTATTTTAATTTGAATTTCTCTGATCAATAATGATTTAAAGCATTTTATATGAGTTTAAATTGTTTGGTTTCTTTATCAGAAAACTTCCTGTTCATATCTTTTGGTGATTTATCAATTAGGGAATGACTTCTATTCTTATAGATTTGACAAAGTTCTTTATATACTTGATAGGAGACCTTTATCAACAATTCTGCTTTTTAAGGAGTTCTTTTCTTCAGTGAATTTTTATAATTCTCTTTTCATAATTTTCTTGCATCACTCTCATTTCTTTTCCCAAATTTTCCTCTACTACTCATATCTTTCTTTAACTCTTCTAGAAATTCTTATTTGGCTTGGATCCAAATAGCACTTTTTTTTTTTTGAGGTAATGTGGTCTTGGGAGAGGTATGGTCACTGCTGTCCTGGTGTGTACTCTAATCTTTACCTAGGAAGGGTCCCTGGTCCCCTGAATCCACAAGTGCTAGCACTCTCTTTGACTTGGAACTGCAACCAAGCCACCTGTTCCCTTGTGACTGACCCTGCCCAGCTTGCAATTCCAAGGCAACCCAGAATTGCAAATGGGCAATAAAGTTACCAGTAAGTACCAGCTATACTCAGTGCCAGCAGTGGTTCCCCTGTAATCTCTTTTGGACCAGTTGTCTGACCCCCTTATCGGTCTCTGGGCTTGGAGCTCCTAAAACTCCTGTGGCTGCTATTGTTGCCAAAGTGTGTGTGGGCTCCAGACAGGCTTCCACTCCAGTGTCACAAACTCCTGCCAACTCCCTAAGTTTTCTTTGGCTGGAAAAATAGCTCACCTTGACCTTTTGTTGACTCTGCTGTGCCAAAATCTGATTTGAGGTGTTATTTTGAAGTTATTTAGAGGGGAATGTTGAAAGAGTTCATTTGGGTTGCCAGTAATCCACCATTTTGACTCCACACTCTGGTATAGAATGTTTTAAAAACAAAAAAGGTATAGTGATTTTTAAAAAGTAATTATAACAAATTGGACTGGACTCGTGGACTCTTCATCTGCCAAGATGAAGGCTTACTTGCTGTCTTACCATACATACTGTTTAGAGAAATTGACTAAAAAACAGGCAGTCACATACGTTCTTAAAAGGTTGAGATTGAAAGGAGGAGAGGGATGTGACTTACTTATCCACCACAGTTCTTCAAAGAAAACAGGGAACCACATCACATATCCTTAGTCACTGCCAAAGGTCACGAAGGTATTTAGGTACTCTTAAGTCTTTGAAGGTGTGAGTAATATCTAGGAGTATGTAATTATTGGAAGGTGGTAGAGCTTAATTTGAGGAGGAATCATTATGGAAATATTGGTTGATATATTTTAAATCTCATTAAATATTTTGTTGGGCTAATCGGGGTTCATAAAAATTAAAGAGTTCTGGAGTGGATGGTAGGGTGCTTAGCTTAGTTTCATGTATTAAAATAAAGCCACGGAGGGAGGAGCCAAGATGGCAGAGTTAAAGCAGTGACTTGCTTGAGCTCTCCCCCAAACCCCTCCAAATACCTATAAAAAATGGCTCTAAACAAATTCTAAAGCAGTGGAACCCACAAAAAGACAGAGCGAAACAAATTTCCAGCCAAAGAGAGCCTGGATGGTTGATCAGAAAGGTATGTCGCGCCAGGCTGGGAGAGGAGCGCAGTGTAGCGTGGGTGCACAGGACTCAGTGAAGCTGGAGCAGGCCTCAGAGGACTGAATCGTGGTCAGCTCCGGCAATTTTCAGACTTCTCAATCCACGAACGCCAAAGACAACTTAGAGGTCAGTGGGAAAAGTCTGTCACTGCGGTGGTGAGAGAGGAGCGCAGGATCCCAGCCCCATTCCTTGGGACAGCGGCCGCTTCCTGAGCTTCCGGCCCACAGACTGAGGGAGAATCGAGTGGCTGATCAGAGGGGGATTGCGGGGATCTCTCTGCTGGTGCAGGATTCTCTTGCTTTGCCTGTGCTTGGATCTGGGTCACAGCTCTGGGTGGCCGTCCTGGGGCAAGGAGAAACGCTGGCATGATGGAGCTTGTGGTGGCTGTGGAGAGGAAACCCTCCTCACAGTTCCAAGACAGAAAAGAGTGCCCATAGACCAGAGCACAGGCCAGAAAAGGAGTAAACACCTCACCCTTGATCATACCACCTTGGAAGAACTGAAAATTTACAGGTCCCTAGAAGTATCTCTGAAAACAGCTGCAAAAAACCCCTGAAGCTTGGGACAGTACATTCTCCACACTGGAAACAGACTCCTACCTTAACAAAGAGTCTATAACTCAAGTAATTGACTGAGATCATGAGCAAGCAGCGCAAAAAGAGTCAGACTATATTATCTTATTTTGATGACAAAGAAGATCAAAACATACAACCAGAAGAAGACAACGAAGCCAAAGCTCCTACATCCAAAGCCTCCAAGAAAAATATGAATTGGTCCCAGGTCATGGAAGAGCTCAAAAAGGATTTTGAGAAGCAAGTAAGAGAAGTAGAGGAAAAACTGAGGGTGATGTTAAAGGAGACCCAAAAAAAAACCTGAAGAAAATAACACCTTAAAAATAGCCTAACCCAAATGGCAAAAGAGGTCCAAAAAGCCAATGAGGAGAAGAATGCCCTAAAAAGTAAAATTGGCCAAATGGAAAAGGAAATCCAAAAGCTTACTGAAGAAAATATTTCCTTAAAAATTAGAATTGAGAAATTGGAAACTAGGGGCAATATGAGAAATCAAAGCACTGTAACACTAATCCAAAGGAA